TCTCTCTCTCTCTCTCTCTCTCTCTCTCTCTCTCTCTCTCTCTCTGTGTGTGTGTGTGTGTGTGTGTGTGTGTGTGTGTGTGTGTGTGTGTGATCATGAACCATGACTGACACACCTCAGAGGCCATCCATCTTTTTTGAGACCTGTTCTCACCCCAGCCTGGAATTCCACAATTAATCTTGGCTGACCAGGCAGAGCCCCGGAACCCTCCTGTCTCCCCTCCCCAGTGCTGGGATTACAATCCTAAGTCACCACTCCCAGCTTCTCCCTGAGTCCTGGGCTTCCAACATGGGTCCTCACGCTTCTGTGACAGCACGTTACTCACTGACCATCTCCTCAGCCCACACCTTCTATTCTTGAACTGAAAACCCTTATCAACTGAGAAACTCTCCCAAACAGAGCATCTCTTTGAAACTGAGCTGGGGAGGAGGGACTTTAGAATTTGGGAGCTGGAGTGAGAATCCATCAGAGAAGGACATTAAGTAGCAAGCTGGCTCAGTGAGGGGATGAAGGCCCCTTAGATGACCCCTCGGCTCACCAGCGATATTTGAGGCTGGGTGTGGATTTTCTCTTTCTAAACATGAGACAGCAGAGAACTCAAAGAATATTAATAACTGATGCATTTTCTCCCAAAGAATGGGAAACCTCAGACCTGGGCAGAAGCCTGGGTGCCTGTGGGAGGGTTTGTGCAGGATGCAGAATTTTCCTGAAGCTGTCTGCCTCAGGAAAACAGGAAACAGAGCCACACCACACCCTACCCACCTGCACACCTATTAAATCATTAATCATTAAATGAAACTCTATGTAAAGATCTCACACAGGCCTGACACACAGTGTGTCTCCAAAATTACATATTGCCCAACTCTACCCAAAGACACTCATGAACACATCCTGAAAGCACAGTGGGGGCACAGCACCCCCTGCTGGCCACTATGAGAACTGCTGCTATTAACTTAGAGACAAGGCCACTGCCCTTGGCTTAGGAGAGCCATGGACACAGTGCAGAGTCTCAGGCAGCAGGGAATGAGAGGCCAGCCTGGGAGCAGGAGCAGGGCAGCATGCTGTGGGCAGCTGCAGGGGCTTAGAGCCCTGCTGAGTAGAGGGGCCAGAGGGGGTGACCCAGAAATGAGCTGGGAGGGCGGCCTCATGGGAAGTCAATGGACTTCCCCGGCCTCAGCACCTCTACAGTGGGGAAGCAGTATCATCTCAGAAGGACGGCCTGGGAAATGACAGTGTGGGGGACAGCCCAAGAGAGGACCCCCGCCACAACCCTACCTAAGATGATTTTGTCAATGAGGCCTACTTGAGTGCCCTAGGCCCAGAAATTGAAAATAAACATATGCATGAGAGACCTTCCTGGGTCACTCCATGACTTGGCGTGTCCCCAACTCCATCAGTAGGTGATTTTGCCTTGTGCCAGCACCAAAGACTGATGGTATGGCCTGCTGCAGCCATGGCTGTGCACCTGTGTATACCTAAGGCACAGCCTGCTGCCTGTCTACTCAAATGTACACATGCACCCAAACACAAACACACACCCCACATGTATTCTTTAGCCGGCTGCCCGTCCCCTCTACAAGTTCATGACATACACACCACCACTACCACCACTACCACCATTACCACCATCACCACCACCACCACCACCACCACCACCACCACCACCACATCTTGTTGCTCTCAGAACCTGGTCAATCAAAACCACATGATATTAAGTTAGACATTATGGAAAACCATGCACTGGAAACACACAGTGGCTGGGGAGGCAGCTCAGCGGATAAAGACAATTGCTGCACAAGTGTGAGGACCTGAGTTCAAATCCTCAACACCCACTTAACTTAGAATGTGCCACACATGGATCTGTAACCCCAGAACTATGGGGACAGAGACAGGAGAATCTCTGTGACCTGCTGGATGCCAGCCAAGCTCCATGTTCACAGAGAGACTCTGCCTCTAAGGGAGAAGGTGACAAAGTATAAAGGAAGACACCAGTGTCCTCTCTTGTCTGAAAACATACGTGTATAACTTTTCATGAACACAAACAATACAGACACAAAATAGGGCAGAGACTCTATAAGCAGGAGATACAAGATAACAGATGCAGCAGACTGCTCCATGGTAAACTCTGACACAAGCAGGAGTGTACACACACACACACACACACACACACACATACAACACACACGACAAGCCCCATGCAGAAGACACTGGACACCAGAGCATGGGTGGCCATCATTAGATGACCCTGCATTAGCTTCTCAACTGTGAGCTCCTATAAAATTACGAACACAAGTTCAATACTCTTATCCTAGAGCAAAGAACCAGGGCACAGTCACAATCAGATCAAACAAAACCAATGTCCAACAGTGCAATGACCCTGCAGCTCTCTTGTGTGTGACAATAAAATGCTGTTTCCTCCCACCGCTGTCTCCAGGCCTGTGGGGAAAGGACCACACTAGGACCAGTTGGGGGCAGGACTTTCCAGAGCTACATGGTGTTTGCAGTCCTGAGGGGTGATGGGCACATGGCTGTATGGGGAGTGAGGCTTGCTGTGGTAAAACTCTGCTCTATTCCCTGAACCCCACAGCCTGTGAGCTTGTCACCCAGATAGACCAAAGACCCTCAGAGAAGGGCTGGAGTGTTAACGGAGTTAAGTCTCCCTTACAGGTCATGTTGGCATCTACGGCAAACCTGACCCTGAAATCTACAGAAAGCTCATCAGAGAGTGCACCTCCCTGAGGAAGGAGGGCGAGTTCTCCACCTGCTTCACAGAGCTCCAGAGAAACTTCCTGAAGCATCGTCCAACCAAGCTGAAGAGTCTCATCCGCCTGGTCAAACACTGGTACCAGCTGGTATGGCATCTGGCCCATCTGCCATGAGCTCCGTCTATACAGGGGGTGGATACAGCCAGAGAAAAGAAGGGGTGTTCTAGTTTGCTTTCTATTGACATGGTATCTTTATCACATGACCAATGGTCTCTTGGGAAGGAAAGGTCTTATTAGGTCACACATCCCAGTCACACAGTCCATCACTAAAGGAAGAAAGGTCAGTCACTGAAGCAGAGACCATGGAGGAATTCTTCTCGCTGCTTTCTCTCCATGGCTCACTCAGTTTGCTTTCATGTACAACCCAGGGTCATCTTCCCAGATGTGGCATCAACCAGAGTTGCCTGATCCCACCCACATCAATCATTAATTAGTAACATGCCCCCGACAAACTACCGTAAGCCAGTTGATGGAGGCATTTTCTTGATTAAGGGTCCCTTCTACCAGGTGTCTAGTGGACCAAAACTAACCAGCACAATTGACTGCTTTTCAAGTTGATGCGCAAACAGACCACCATTAAACCATAACCTTTCCTTTCTTGCTTATCCCTAAGATCTCATGTCTATATCACATTATAAAATACAATATACCCTTAAAAGCCCCAAAGTTTAAAAAAAACTCAAACACATATAAAAATTAGCTTCTCAACTGTGAGCTCCTATAAAATTACGAACACAAGTTCAATACTCTTATCCTAGAGCAAAGAACCAGGGCACAGTCACAATCAGATCAAACAAAACCAATGTCCAACAGTGCAAAAGCTAAGTATCTGATATCTGGGACTCACCATTTTCTGAGCTCCAAAGGGCCTGGCCTTTGTTCTTCTCGTCTCTGCCATCCACAGCACACAGCTGGTCTCACAGGCTCAGGCCAGCTCTCTTCACATGTTCTGCTCTCCTTGGCAATGGTCTCATGCTCAGGGGACCTTCAGTGTTTGAGAGGGTTCTCCACTACAGTTGAGGCTGCACTTTCTCCTGTGGCCTCTCCTGGCCTCTCTCAGTGCCAGGCCTCAGCTGCTCTCCATGACCCCTTCAATCCTGCAGACTTAGAGGGACTAAAATAGAACCACCTGGGAGACCTCTCCACATCACCAGGTCTGTCTGTCACCCTGAGAGGCAGTCTTGGGCCCCTGGACCACAGCTTCTGTGTGTGACCATGAGGAAACCCTTTCCAGAAGACTTGGCCTCCATGGTGCAGGTCTCTTCTTACTCAGAGCTGATTTTCAGCCCCACCTCATGAGAAACTATGATCCTTAATTCAAAGATCTCACACAAACAGCCAGATAGAGTCTTTGCTTCCCTCTGAAACTTCACACACCATCCTCTGTCATCTGCCTGTCTGTCAACATTCGTATCTTCCAAGTTTCCACAAACAGCCCATTAGGCTCTGAGCACTCAATGTCTTTTCCAACCCAAAGTTCCAAAATCCTTCCACTATCCTGCCAAAGATCAACATGGCAGGTGTGTCCCAGCAGTAGTCTACTCTCTAGGACCCGGAAGTTGAGGCAGGGATTTAAGCAGAAGCCACGGAGGAGCACTGTTTACTGGCTTGATGCCCCTTTACTGCTCAGCCTTCTTTTTAAAAGCAACTCAGAACCACCTTCCCAGGGGTGGCTCTGCCCACAATGGGCTGGGCCCTCCCACACCAATCACTGATCAAGAAAATAACTTACAGGCTTGCCCACAGCCTGTCTGATGGAGGCCTTTTCTCATTTGTGGGTCCATCTTCTCCAGATGACTCGACTTGTGTCAGGTTGACAAAAAGGGGAAAAAAATTGGCACAAGTGGTGAGGAAAAAAAACTGAAAGGGAAAAAGGCGGGTGGAAGGGAGGGAGGGGGCAGGGGATGAGAGAGAATCAAGGGGTAAGTGGGGGTGATGAGGTAGGGTGATGCTGAGGGAGGGGACCGGAGAGGAAGGAGGACTTTCTATGTTTGTTCTAATTGATTTTTTTTCTAGTCCACTTTCCAGTCAGCTAACTCTCTCTTCAGCCATGTCTAATTCACTGTTCTCTGGCTGCTGCTTCATTTGTGTCTTTGAGTTTTTTTCTCCCATGGCAAATCTTTCATGTTCCTTTCTATCACGTTGATTTTCCCGACTCTTCATGCAATTATCTCTTTAAACGTTTTATTTCTTGTTATAGTCTGGGATTTTTAGTCTGTGTGTGTTTATCCCTGTTCACGGGAGCATACGTGCATGTGTTTATATGTGTGTGCAAAAGCATGTGCAGGCCAGAGAACAATGCCAGGTCCTCAGTCACTCTCCACCTTGTATATCCAGGCAGGGTCTGATGCTCGAAACCACAGCATGCTGAGTCATCAGGTCTGAATCCTCATGTAGTCCTGGGGACCCCCATCTTCACCTCCTGAAGCTGGGATTATGAGTCAGCTTCCTCACCAGACATTGGGGTGCATGTTGGGGATCTAAACTTCTTAGATTGCCTGAGGGACACTTTATCCACTGAGCAGTCTCCCTGGCCCCTCCCCAGTTATTTCAGAGCCTGTAATAAAACCTCCAAGAGTGAGCATCATTACTATCCCGCCCCCACCCTCATTCCCTGGCTGTCACTCAAAGTGTCATGATTCCTCCTGTGCCTACTGATAAATGTGCAGTCATTGTGGACCACACAATCTCCATCTCAACCGCTCAACCATTGGCTGTAGCACAGGAGGGTCCGTAGACTGAATCTAAAGGACTAGGTATAGCTGTGTGCCCATAAACCTGTGATGACATCATCAGGTGGCAGTTGAATTGACCCCGTGAAAAGTGGTCCCCACAGCAGCTGCCAGCCTGTTTTTCTCATTGTCTCTCTCTTCTCAGTGTAAGGAGAAGCTGGGGAAGCCGCTGCCCCCCCAGTATGCCCTGGAGCTGCTCACAGTCTATGCCTGGGAATGTGGGAGTAAAGCCCCTTATTTCAACACAGCCCAGGGCTTCCGGACAGTCTTGGAACTGGTCACCAAGTACAGGCAGCTTCGAATCTACTGGACAGAGTATTACGACTTTCAAGACCAGGACATCTCCAGTTACCTGCACAGACAGCTCAGAAGAGCCAGGTAGCCTGTCCCCACATGGCCCAGCTCCTCACCACGGGGTCCAGGCTGCAGGAGTGTGGAAAAGGGGAGGTGGGGTCCTGTGTCACTGAAGCATCTCCTGTCCTGTCACTGTGCTGGGCCCTGTCCTGCTGGCCCCTGATTGACATGAGGACCTGCAACCCTGGGCTCTCCTGTCTGTAGATAAGACCAAGGCTCTGACCTTGTCCAAACCCAAACAGTAGAAAAAGGGGAGTACATGGAGCGGGAACCAAGACATTCCAGCAGTAACAAAAGTCATAAGGGCTGTTAGGTACTGAAGACCAACTCGGGGACCAATGAACTATAAACAATACAGTAGACTTGTTGCCCAAGGTAGGGACCTTTTGTGATCCGATGTTGTGTTCAGCCCTCACATCTCATCCTTTGAGACTGACAGGTTGAACTCTTCCTCATCTCACAGATCAGAGAGGCTGAAGGACCTGCCCCAGGAAACACAGCTACTAAAGGGTAGAGGATTGGAACCCAGGCCTTCCAGGTCATGGGCAAGTGGTCCTCCAGGCTTGCTCTATGCTGTGGGGCAGGGACTCAGGACAAACTTTGGTTAGGGGTGATCTGCCGGGCTCCTCCACTGCCCCTGGGCAGTGGCACCTGGGACCCCGGACAGCTGGTCAATTCCCTCTCTGAATGTTGCTCTGCAGGCCTGTGATCCTGGACCCTGCTGACCCAACAGGGAACGTGGGTGGTTCAAACTCAGATGGTTGGGGGCGACTGGCGGGAGAGGCTAAGGCCTGGTTTCGGTACCCATGCTTTAAGAACAAGGATGGTTCCCCAGTGCGCTCCTGGGATGTTCAGGTAAGACCCCGTCATCACCCTGTCCCCTTGCACACAGCTTAGGTCACTCCATCTGTTTGGTGAATACTCTCACCAAGATGTGATCTTTAGCTACAGGACTCCACACTCCTAGGAAAGCCAGCTGCTTCCCTGTTTTCCAGCCATTTTAGCAGCATTCAGAGATGTCACAGGCTGGCAAGATGGCCCAGTGGGTAAAGCATGTGCTGCCAACACTGGTGAGCTGGGCTTGATCCCTAGAACCCTAAGGTAGAAAGAGAGACCGACTTATCCAAGTTTTCTCTGAGCTTCACCTCTGTGCTGTTATACAAGTGGACATGCACACACACACACAACACATAAACACATTCACACAAACTCACACACATATACCCACCTTCATTTCCAAACTCTCACACACACTCACTCACTCACACTCACAGACACAGGTGTGCCCGCACACTGACATGTGAAGATCAGTCCACGTGAGTCTATTTAATGGGTAATAGGACCAATAGGACCACTACACTCATTTATACCCCCTTCCCAATAAGAATGTGGGCTCCTGACATGATTGTGTGTTTTCTATTGCAGACGGAGGTTGGTGTACCACACCAGGAGACTCATTTTTTTCGCAATGTCTGTTTATTTTTGTTGTTTTTATTTGTTTTATTTATTTCAAGGGCTGCTTCTGCATAGCACAGGCTAGCCTGGAGCTCACCATCCTCCCGCCTTCGTGCTGGGATGACTGCAGTGTAGACCTGATGTGCCCTGCCTTCCCTCCATCCTCAGGTGGATGAGAATGGAGCATGCCTCCTCCTGTGAGCTCAGTAGCACCCTTCCCAGAAGGCTCCCAGAGTCAGGGGGATGTGCTCCTCTGTTGCAGGCCTTGACCAGAGAGGTCAGGATGCAGCCAAGGCCCCAGAGAGGGAGTGTCCAACCTGGAGTCAGACTCCAGGCTTCTGACCCTGGCCCACCTACCCTTCCACCCTGTCCCATCACAGACAGCCTTCCTCGCAGCCTGCTTCATCAGCTGTATCCTCTGACAGTGTTGCCTGGGGGACAAGAGATGCAGAAGGGGAGGGAAGAATTCCAGCTTGACTTCTGTCTGGGTGTCTGTTGGGAGGTTCTGTCCAATGTCTGATGAACAATAAACCACAGTCGATGCCATGAGGGTGTGTGAGAGTCATAGATGTATAGGCATGTGTGTGTGTGTGTGTGTGTGTGTGTGTGTGTGTGTGTGTGTGTGTATGGACACTTGTGGTTCAACTAGATGCATTTATTGAGCACTTGTTACATGCTCCCCATGAGTCCAGGCACCGAGCACTCAGCCGTGGACAGAGCAGAACATTACATTACACACTTCTTATTCCAAATCATTACAGCTTTTTATTCTGGGTGGCTTGGGGATCCCTCCAGGTCACTTGTACATAAACCAGAGACAGGAATCCTTGGTTCCTTATGTCCATGTCCCAAGACAAGATTCTAGACCTGCCCCATGTGACTCAGAAGCTGTTCTGCAGCTGCACATGGCCAAGGGGATCTGGGAATGTGAGCATTGCATGTGAAGATGCACCGTGGCTACAACATGCAGGCTGGGGTTTGAGGATGTGCATGGCAAATAAAAAGTGCATGGAATTTGTGACTATGGTGACTTTGAAGTGAAACGTGGTTTGTTTGTAGTGATTATGAACATCTGGTGCACTAAGTAAATCACAAGGAGTGTCAGCTCTCTCTCTCTCTCTCTCTCTCTCTCTCTCTCTCTCTCTCTCTCTCTCTCTCTCTCTCGTGTGTGTGTGTGTGTGTGTGTGTGTGTCTCCTCCTCTTTTTCTTTCTGAGAGAGGGTCTCATTATATGTCCCAGGCTGTAGCATGAATCTTAAAAGTTCTTATTAATAAAATCAAACCTGAGGCCAATTATTGGGGTGAACACTGGAAGATCAGAGAGCCAGAACAAGCCACAAGTACCTCACCTCGCCAGATCCTCAGCTGGTCTTGCTTCCTCAGACTGGAGGCCTCTGAGTCCTCATCCAAAATGGATCTCAGCTGAACTGTGCTGCTCAAAAGCCTGAAAGCTTAACCAGGCCAAAAAGCTTCTAGTTTCTGGTCCTCACACCTTATATACCTTTCTGCTTTCTACCATCACTCCCTGGGATTAAAGAATCACTCCCTGGGATAAAAGGCGTGTGCTACTACTGCCTATCCTGTGTTTAATATTGTGGCTGTTCTGTCTCTGACCCCAAATAAGTTTATTAGAGTGCACAATATTTTGGGGAACACAATATCACCATATTTCCCCCTTTTTTTGTCTAAAATTTAAAAAAAGCTTATAACTAATACAAGAAAAACTATCCAATAAGTATATACAATATATAAAGTCAAGAATTACATTAATGATGTCTAGTCCAATAACATTTGACAGATTCAGACAAAAAACTCCATTAATATATAACAATGTCCAGTCCAGTAACATTTGATAAACTCAGACAAAAAATTTTCATTACTTATCTTATTTAAAACAAGTAATTTCTTTTTAAAAGTATTTTTTCTTTTCATAATAGATTCAGTAATCTACCTTTTGTCATTTTTATATCTTCCCCTTTTTCTTTTCAGTGTAGATTCACTGATCTACCTATTTATCCTATTATTTCTTTATCTTTTTTCTCAGAGTAGATTTGATGATCTATCTCATATCCATTTTCTCTTTTTCTTTTTGCTTTCTGGGGGTGAAGATATCTTTGGGGAATCTTGAAAAGAAAATTTTTGGGTTAATTGTCAAGTCCTGTATCATTTGTCCAGTCTTTGCAAGGGCTTGTCATAAGTCCTTGCTCGTAGTCTGTCAGGCTGGATCATCTCAGCTAGTCATCTCAAAATTGTCCTGACCAGTTTGTAGTCCAAAGTCAATCTTTTGGCGGTGTTAATCAGCTTAATGGCTTTATCATAGTCCATGTGGAATCATCATTGTGGGATCCTGTCACCTTTTTGAAGATTTCAAAGTCACTGTTAGGCGTGGTCATGGTTCTCTGCAGACTTTTTTTTTTTTTTTTTTTGCCTCCTCTGTAGTTTGGAGCAATCACAGTCTGATAAATGTCTGTCTCTCTGAACCATGAACATTCTTCCCTAGAACAGAAAATCTTCACAACAATTTCTCCCCACCAAAATTTGTCTTGCCAAACTTTTCCAAACTGACCTTTGCCGATGCTTTCTTGTAACACGATGGTCCTGGCAATTCTTCTCTGAACCAGCAGCAGTAAACCCTTCGTCCCAGGTAGCAGCATCACCGCAGTCACCAACATGATGAGAAGGAGCTGGCAACGTGGAGCAGTAGCCACTACCTCCATGGTCCCACTGCTGTTTGTGGGTCAGGGAAGTTCTCCTAGGTTGGCTTCAAACTCAGGATCCTCCTGCCCCAGGCTGCCTGGAACTCACTGCAATCCTTCTGCCCCAGTCTCCCCAGCTCTGGAATTATATACACATGCACACACACTACTAACCTCCACACAAAGACCTTGTCCAGCTCCGAGGCCGGGGTGTTGCTGAGTCCCTGCTCCATTCTCAGACCCTGAAGCTTTCCCTCGGCAGCCTGATGCTCCTATGTCTCCCAGGTGGGTTCAACCCAGGTACAGGGCTTTTCAGTTTCGATTTCTAGGAAAGGGTGTGGCTGCCAATGCTTCTAAGTCTGGGATTCCTTAGGATCCTGTGGGCACACGGTCAAAAGAATAAGTCATGATGAACTTTGCCTTGGGGGAACTGAGAGAGAGGCTCCAGGAAAAAAGGCAGAGAGCCTTTTTCTTGGGTGCTTTTTTTTTCCCTGGAGTGTTCTTGGACATGATTTTGTGCCTCCTGGGACAAACATTTACATTCAATTTATGAGACATGTTTATTCTTGTTGGATGCCAGAACACAGGGATAGAACCCGGTCTGACCCTGAATCTGCATATGGCCTCTGCCTTACTTTTCTGCTTTCCCAGATAGAGTCTATAGTAAATGCCAGGCAATTGTGTTTAAATCAGTTTGTCCTGAGAAAGTTCTGGGAAAGGGCTGCTCTGTTAATATTTAGTATGTGAATACTAGTGTTTATTTTACTTTATTTATTTACTTTGGTTTTTTCAAGACAGCGTTTCTCTGTGTAGCTTTGCACCTTTCCTGGATTCTGATACAATTCTGGGTTAACTTGGACATTGGTCCATATTGTGATACAAACAATAGATGGAGACAAGCCAAAGGATTTAGAAAAGACTCTGAGAGATTCTTTGTATGAGTATGAGCTAAATAATGAAACACACACATGCTGCGGGCCGCAGAAATATATCATAAGAACTCAGCTGGTTATGGCAAAGT